GATTGTATTCGATTTCTTCTACGACAAGGTATGGCATTTCGTGGACATGATGAATCTGAAGATTCAAACAACCAAGGAAACTTTCTTGAACTACTGCATTGGTTGTGTGATCATAATGCTAAGATTAAGGCCGCTACTTTGACAAATGCACTTGAGAATTTCAAATTAACATCACCACGAGTGTAAAAAGATATTGTGAGTGCTATTACTTCTGAATGTCTAAATGTAATTATGAAAGATATTCGTGATAGTTTCTTTTCAATTTTAGTTGATGAATCTCGAGACATTTCAATTAAGGAACAAATGTAAGTTGTCATTCGTTATGTGAAGAATGGGCATGTATTGGAACATTTTGTTGGCATCCATCATGTTTCGAATACCACAGCTATCTCACTGAAGGCTGCAATTGATCAATTATTCTCAACACATGGCTTAAGCATATCTAATTTGAGAGGTTAGGGATATGATGGAGCTAGTAACATGCGAGGTGAGTATAATGGCCTCAAAGCATTTATTTTGAAAGAAAACCCAAGTGCATACTATGTTCATTGTTTTGCTCATTAATTTCAATTAGCTCTTGTAGCTGTGGCACAGAAGCATCCGAAGATTGAAACTTTTTTTCACTATAGTACACAAATTGGTGAATGTTTTTGGTGGATCGGTTAAACGGAGTGATCTTATTCAAGAGAACAAAAGGTTGAAAGTTCTTGAATCACTCAATGTCGGTGAATTATCAAGTGGGCGAAGTCTCAATCAAGAAACAATTCTTCAACGTCCTGGTGATACACATTGGGGCTCTCACTATAGTTGTTTAATTAACTTGATTGTCATGTTTTCAACCATAGTAGACGTTGTTGGGATGATTGCTACTGACACTACAAGTATCGGAACAAGAGGTGATCCATGTATTTCATTTGAGTTAATGTTAAAATTTGAATTTGTACTTAATCTACATCTCATGAAATTTTTTTTGGGGATTTCAAATGAATTGTCGAAATCATTACAACGAAAAGATCAAGATATTGTTAGTGCCATGAGATTGGAGCAATTATGTAAAGTATGGCTCCAAACGATGAGGAATGATGGATGTGATTCTTTTTTTTGAAATTGTTTGTTTGTTTTGTGAAACTCACAAGATCAGTGTTCCCAATATGGATGATATATTCATAACTCTGGGTCGTTCATTGCGTGAGATAGCGACAAATTTTCATCAGTATCATGTGGAAATGTTTCATGCTATCATTTATATGCAGGTTAAGGAGCTGAATGATCGTTTTTCTGAGGTAAATAGTGACTTGCTCATTTATGTTGCGTGCTTGTCTTCAAATAACTCATTTGATGCATTTGACAAGGACAAAGTGATTCGACTATGTCAGTATTATCCGGTAGATTTTGACGCAGTAGATATCTTAGAACTTGATGATCAATTAGATATATGTTCTTGACATGCGGACGTTTGAAGGTTTTGAAGGATTACAAGGCATTAGTGATCTTACACAGAAATTGGTTGCGAAGAATAAACATGAAGTGTATTCATTAGTCTATAAGCTTGTGATATCAACCTTAGTTCTTTCCATAGCTACTACTATAGTCGAGAGATCATTTTCTGCGATAACTTGTGTCAAAAATCGTCCGCGCAATCGAATCGGAGATCAATGGTTGAATGATAGTTTGATTGCATATATTGAGAAAGATGTATTTGACAAGATTGAAAATAAAATAATTATGGAACGTTATCAAAATATGCCAACACGTAGTGAATGGTTGTAATAAAGCATTTTTTACTTTAATTTTTTGTCACTTTTTGAAAGTTTGATTGTGCCCCCTCCCTCTGTTTAAGAAGTCTATGTCCGCCCCTGATCCTCTGTCTACAGAAACCACAATGTTCAGCAAAAGCAACTTAACAGATTGAAGAATCAAAGGTATAGATAACTGGTAACTTGCTAGGGAACCAACCGGGAGATTCACGACAACCACTTCATTCTCCAGTACATGAAGAGGCCCGTGAACCAGAAATCAAAAACTCGATGCTCATAACCACAAATTCAAATGCAATATTGATTTCATTAGCAAACTGAATAACATCCTCACGAGTAAGGCCGAGCTCTATTTGATCATGGGTTGAGGATGAGGCAAGTGAAGTAATTTTCACGGACAATGCCAATACTCCTCAATGCAAGCGCCCGCATCAGTGATGCCCATTGCCCACCATACCCAATATCAAAATCTACAATATGAATTCTATCAAATCCTTCGAACACTTCAAGGAGGGCTTGGTTGCAAGTAAAATAGGCATATTGTACAAAAAAAAATACATCTCCGGCGGAACGCACGGACACGGTGTCTTGGAACGAATTTACAAGATAAAATGGAATTCTTCAAAATACATGAAGACATCTATCCAAAGTGCCTTTTTTTACATATCAGTGAAAATTGGAGGACCAGAGGAGTGAAAATTGGGAGAATGAACAGCAACATCTCATTCGTTTAATGTTGCATCTACAATAGTAAGAAAATTGTCATTTTTAATATGGTAGGATATGATGTGGTGAATATGATTTGATTAGAATTTCTTTAACTAAATAAAAAAAAAAAATTCTACTCTCTTCGACACCTCATCTATCCGTAAAACCTACAATAACTCTTTATTTACAAGTAGAATTATTTGGGAAGAATACCTTTCTTTTATTTTTCTGAACTACTATCTTTTATTTTTTTTCGTTTATCGAGTATTTAGTCATTGTTTGGCTCCTATTTTTTTAAATTCATATTTCTTCAAACTCATTTTTAACAACACAATTCATGAAATTCACGATTTTTATCAACTTTTGAATCATACGTTTCATTAATTTTTATTAAAAAATATGATTTTTAGTCAAGTCAAATGTCTTTAATTGTTGAGGTATGTTGATTTACCAGGGCCAAATGTTTATTTAAAAAGATGATGGAAAATTCATCACAATTCAATGAAAAAAATGGATGGGGGGACATGATTTGTAATTAAGTCAAAGAGTAATGTTATTTAGCCTAGCTATGATTATAACATCAATCCACATTGTATTAGGTGATAGGCTAAATGAAATATAGAATTAAATAATTATACTTATTAGTTAATGTTACATTACAGTCGCATAGACTGTAGTTATAATTTTAGTGGGACTAAATATCATTACTAGTCAGGATGTTTGATGCAAAGTGTGCATTACGTCAACTACATCACCAGTTCCATTAGAGATTTTAAACAGAAGTTATACCGGTGCGTAACGTTTAAAGTTTTCCAAAGTTCAACAGCCAAACCTCGATATTTTAAACTTCAATGAGCAATTGAAGACATAAACATAAGTTTAGTGACCATTTGAACAATTAGCTCATTGATGATACTATCTCTGTCTCATAAAGATAGTCATGCTTTCATTTCTCGTATATCCTAAATTATAGTATTGTTTCTTATATGAGGGTATAATTGATATATTAGTTTCCTAATATGCTCATATCTAATGTGTTTCGTTATCACAAATATAAACCATTTCATTATTCTAATGTAGTTGGAACAATAAATAAATAATCATTTCATCTTCCATGACATTTATTCATTTGTATTTGTATCGAATGACTTTAGAATATTAATTACCTTGATTTTTGCATTAAACAATGATTAGTGCCAATAATAGTTTAATTATCTTGAATATTGATTGCATTATTGTAGGAATATATTAGGAAAAATGACAATAAAATTTATTATTTCAATTATATTAGTTAAATTTTCTTAATTTGTGTGAAAAAATAAGATTATCATTATAGAACGAATGTAGTATATTATTAATAGATTGCAACGATTGATGAAGAAAAGTGCAAATTTCCCAATAAAGAGTGGGCGCGGGGAAAATTGAGCTACCGCTAGTTGGGCCTATGTGGCCCGGTCCATTAAATGCATTTCTTCCTAAAATACCAACAGTTCTCGCGCCCATTTTTTCTTACACTCTACAACTGATTCGGATCAGGTTTGTCAAATTCCGGGTCCGGATCTCTCCGTCTCCTACTCCTCCACCATCCCTTTGCAGGGCTTCAAGCCCTAATTCCAAAATCCTCTTTCCCCTCCCTCTAAGAAATTTTTCACAGACACCGTTTGACTTCTCCTTTTTTGCTGGTATGCTCGCGATGCCTTACTTTTTTCTCAATATATGCGTGTGATGTGTGTTTATATATGCACATAATCTGCCGTTTTGTACGTAAAGATATCCAGGGTTAGCTATGCAAATATATTTATGTACACATGCATGCCTGTATATGCAGTGCTAGGGTTTTGGAGCGCACTTAGGGCGCGAAGTTTTAATTTAAATAAAAAATGATAATTATGGTTTGCAAGTTGTAACACTGCTCCAATTCTCCACTTCCGCTGAACATACGTGGTTACTGATTGTTGTCCGCGAATTACTTTCTCAACGTGTTCTTATTTTTGTTTTTGATTGTTGAACGTAGTACTGTAGTGTAGGAGTGTTTTAATCTCGTGGCATGGTAACAGGCTGAAATGGGACCTGAACTGATGCAATGAGTAGGCTATCATTTAGGCCTCGGCCCCTCGACATCCACAAGAAGCTTCCCATTTTAAAATCTGTTAAGGACCTTGAAGATGATGAGGCCTCCACTTCTACTCGTACCTCCCAGATATTGCGCTTTGCTGCAGAGGCTGATAATGAGGTGCCATATTCAAGTGAAGCACATTATGAAATTATGATATGTAAATTAACCCCATGCTAACCATCCAGCAATTTTCTTGCCAATTAAATATGTTTCCTTGAATATTTGGATTTTAGTCTGTGTTATTTGAAGTATATTTCATTGCATAGCTTTATCAGTTCTTGGAAAACTATTGTAATCTGTATTGTATGTACCACGTGCCTTGTTAGCAAGTTCTCGTACTAAATCCTATGGTCCCTGGTTCTAATCTTTATCCCAGCAAGTAAAGTTTGTTCAGTATGACAGTCATACCCTGCTATCGTGTTATTCCCCGATTACTGAGATCTGCCTTATGTCTAAATTTGGAGGAGGTCTCCTCACGAATTCATGCTCACAGGAGTGATTTTCAGTCACAAAATTCCCAGGTTCCAATTTATATTTGGAGGTTTGAGATGAGTTCTCCTTTCCACTCTTTCCCCCAACCTTGAGGCCAAGCTTGCTGTTTTCTTGAAAGAAAAAGAATAGTTTTTAGGTCACAGGATGTTGTCACAATAAATTGGTAAGACAATCCAACAAATATAGTTCATAGCAATATGGAATGAGAAAAGACCATCTCTGTCTTTATCGATCGCATTTAGAAACAAAAACTAACATACTTTGTTCATATTTTCCCCACTCATACTGAAAACATTTGCCAAATCAAAATAGAATGTTGGATGCTGTCTGATGCTGTATGGAGTGTGTAATATTTGGCCAAAAAATAATTGAAGAAATATATTGTGGTCAATCTCTATTAATTGCAGTACTAAACCTTGTTTACTCTATAATGTATGGAAACAAAAAGAAAAAAGAAGATCTCTTCATGCTGATATACATTTAATCTATGTCGAGCATGCTTGTACAACTGAAAGTCTTGCTAATGTGGAACTTATAACAAGGACCTGTTATAACTGTATTACGAATGTAACTGAATTAATGGCATTATAAGATCAAAAAAGAATGGCAGTGTGCAGTTCCCTCACTGAAACAGCAGCGAGAACTGACACAATAAATCCAAGTTCCAGTTTTATTTTATCTTTATCAATTTTTTTTTTTAAAAAAGGTGGCTAGGTGTGACAATATGATTTCTTCATCAGAGACATCGAGGATCCTATTGCGACAAACAAATTCTTTTTGGCCTTTGATTTTTAAAAAGCCTTCTGATAGAATGTACACCATGTTTTGTTGCTGGGTCGGAGTATTGATGCATATTGCTTTCACAAGACCTGTAAATCTTTGCCAACGTAAGAGTAATTGCTTGTCATGTCACACCTGTATGTACATTTCTGCACGAGGTACAATCAGATGGGGGTAAATGAGTTTTCTAGATCTGTCTATGCATGGTTTAAGTAATGCCTCAAGTATATTTTTGTAGGTGCGACATATACCTAGCAAAAAAATTGCTTCAGAAATACCAATTCCCAAGTTTGCGGTTGTGGATTCGTATGAAAGAGACTACTCCCGTACTTTCTGTCAACCAACATCATATGTGCATGCAAGGGGAGGTAGTTTAACTATAAAATCTGCTGATTGGCTGTGATTTTTTTCCCCCATATACGCTTGATAATTATGTTTGTCGCTTACAGCTCGGGCTGAGATTGGTGAAGTTGTTGAGTACGATCTTGACAACGAAGATGAAGATTGGCTTCTAGAATTTAACGGAGAAAGAAGAACTCTTGATGCTGAAATGTAATAATCTCTCTTAAATTCCACATAACTTCTTCCATCTTTTCCTTATTACTTTGTCTTTTCTCTGTGTACTAGATATTAATCATTTTATTTACATGTATATACTTATTGAGAAATCAGTCTACAGCTCTAATTTTAGAACTGAAGGTATATGTTTTTATGATTTCGTTTTCTTTTTGGAAATTATGTTTTTATGATTTCATTCTTACCTTTTGGATTCGGGAGTGATAGCATATTGAGTACTCTGTTTTGAGACAGTAGTTATTTTCTGGTTGGTGACTTTTCTACCAGTTTAAAACTTTTCGTTAACTGGTTGTATGATGAATTGATTTCTTTTTTTTGCTGCTATGCTAGACCTTGCTGAGAAATCTGACTGTGACACTGGAATTTCCATCATTATCTCATTTAAGTGGGAAATACCTCCTTTCGAAGATCTATCTTACATTATAAAATTATTGTTGTTTTCAAAGTGGAAAGGATGGGATGAGTTATAAGGGAATGCATCTTATGACGTTTAATTACTCACTGTTTTTATTCCATCGATTATGCTAGTGCCACTTGATTGTTGATGCAGGCTTGAGACAATTTTGTTTAAACTGGAGGTTTTAGATCATAAGGCTCGGGAAAGAGCAGGAGTAATCACTCCAACACTTGGCTCGCCTATTCCCATTCTTTTAACTTTTGGCGCTTCTGTCGAGGTGAAACTTACTTTCTGATTGCATTTTCTATGAACCGTGCCATTGTCGTTCTGACTTCGATTTTCTATTTACGTTTTTATTATTGAATTTCATTCATGGCAAAGTGATTTTAGTGACTAAGTTACTAGATTCTGTTGGCTTCTGAAGGGAGAGAAATTTTGAGTTATGAGTTTGGAAGAGAAATTTGAAATCTATATCCTTTCAGTTATAGTAGGAATGAGGAGGTAGAGTCATAGTAGAGGAATAAGCTTTTGCTTCTTGTTGGTAATGGAAATTGCAACTTGAATTTCATAAATGAAATAATCGTCCTTCAAGTTTAGACTTGCTACTTGCCTCTCGTAGTATATTACTCCAAACAACTTTAATCACTTTAATTTTCTTGTTCAGGTAGATTTTTCTTTTAAGTAGGTTATATTCATGATCAGAAAGTCTGGTAGGTGACAGAAGAAAATGAGGTCCTTGGCCTCGCCCAGCAAGGAACTTCAGTTTGACCAAGACCTTGTTAGATAGATATATCCCGAGTTCTGACTACAATGTCCTTGTGTGGTTTTATATAGCAATTCCCCCTCTTATCTTTTTTCTTTTGAGAAGAGGAAGCTCTGTGGGACATTACGTTTCATAGAAGCGGTTAGACATCAACTCAAGAGATGGCAGATCATGAAGGAACCTCATCTTGTTTGATTTTTCTGTTCTTGTTAAAAAGTAATACAATGAAATCAAGAAGTTCGATGCATAGGTACTAATTAATGAGAATTTTTGGAAGTCAATTTTTCCTCTTCCAAAAACTTGTCAACTGGATTACTAGTGCAGAAAATTGTTTTAGAGCACTAAATCTTCAAACCACAATCCAGGAAATTTAGAGTTTGCACATATAAGCTCTCACCTTCTCTTAGTGGCTACTGGCTTGGATCCTAAGAAATTGAATTTCCTTTATAAATGATTTCGTTATAATTACAACTCAGGGTGGGTACTAGTTGTATGAAAGTCAATTCCACAATAAAATGGAACTTCAATCTTTATGTTGTAAAAATTGGTCCTGACCAGTGTAATCAGTCATGTGATCCTAAAAGCCTGTCGGGTAAAATGTAGGCCCCATTATGTAACTAAGGAGTCTACACTCTACAGAGCATTACACTTACTCAGATTCAACCTGTTAAGTTACCAAACTTCAATGGCCCACAACCAAGAAGAGTCCTGGGTTGGATGAAGAAGTTTGTGACATGATCATGTTATAATTCAAGTTAGGCTGTTTTGAAGTCAGTCTAGCTATGCACATGTCAAAGAGTTAATTTGGTGGTTCCTTGTGAATGATTTGGTCTCGATCAGTTGAGTGTATGGTGTACCACACCATGGGTGCAAGATTGATTTTTTCACAGGGCTTGCTCCAAGAGGATTCTGTTTCAGAAGTTTTCGGTTGCCAAACACTACTAACAGAAACAGCTAAACTTTCCTCATATTGGCATAAGTGCATTTATTTTGGTTTTCTTATTCTATACAAAGCACAGCACAGTAATGGAATATGCACTTTGCTTTACATAACAACAAAATTATAGTGTGCATTTGGCCTTCTATTTCTTTTTCTAAACAATTTTGGCTCTTACCAAGTAAGTGGTTCTGGTTTTTTCTAATAGTTTGTCCGTTTACATGATAGGCATTGCAAGCCCTTTCCATCAAATATGGAATTTTCCAGTCTGTTTACAGTTACTGGAAGCAAAAGGTATCGGTCAAAATTTGATGTTATTTATGTTTTTGATGTCTCTGGTAGGGATTATTTTTACTAGAAAGAAATAATTGTCTGATATGCGTAGTGTTCTTATAATGGTTTGTGAAATTTAGCAATAGTCTCACCTCTCTTATCTCTTTTTCCGTGAATGCTTGGATATGATCTCAGAACAATACTCTATGCTTGGATATGATCTCAGAACAATACTCTTGTGCTGTAAAATGAGACTCAGACTTTATAAGTTGACCTTATTGTATCAAATTAGTTTGCATGACAGTACCATTCTTGTGATTGTTGGAAGTGATACGTATTTTTAATTCATTGTTTCTTTCTTTCTATCTTTGCTAGAAACTTGGCACTCTCTTGGCATTTCATGCCTATCTCCCCTTAAATGCACGTGCATTAGTGAGTACATCTTAGTAGATGTCTAAAAATGTTTTGAAATGGGAACAAGGACAAGTTGAAATTATCATTTGCAAATATATTTTCATTTATCTGTTTATAAATTTGATTTAATTTTTGATAGAAGTTAATCGAACTTTTACATGAATATATGTTGATATACAATTTCTTTTATAAGTTTTAGCATTTCATGCTTTCATTGTTTGATATTAGAACAATCATGCTAATTAGCACCTAGCTACCATTGATCAGGAGTATTTTTTATTGTTAAAACTGATGTAAAATCTAGGTTAAGCGTTTTAAATGAACGGGATATCTTTTGATATAACTTGAGATTGACATGTGTGGCTCATTATATATATACACACATGCATCCGTACATTTGTTCAAGTTAAACTTTGTTAATTACAAAACCTACTGAACTTTTTTCGAAAGTCTTTCTAAAAAGAATCTCTCCGTCACTATATCACTTGCAATGAGCCACACGTGTCAATCTGAAGTTAGATCACAATGAGCCATACTGACACCGACACACACACATATATAGAGATGATCTATTAAGCACTAGTGTTTAGCTTATGTTAAGCACCCCTGACATGTGACGTTAATTTATTGATGAATAACAAATTTAATTCGAATCTTGAGGCCAATATAAATTTATTCACTAATCGACTCATGTGCCATGCCACCGGTACTTAGCATAAGATAAGCACAGTGGGCAGTAAATCATTTCTCTCTATATATACACACTAGGTATCTATGGTGTTTGCAATGAGGACTATTGAGGCTCCCTCTTCTGAAATCTGTAGTTGATGAATATTGACTGGGAAATTTTTAAGCTATGACTAAAAAGAAACATTTGATTCGGCGTGTTTACTGGGAAAAGTGGATAAAATGATTGGTGATTTTCACAAGGACTGCCTAGTTAGAATTGAATGCTTTTGAATACTTTTTGTTTTTATGTGCATATTTGTACTTTTTAGACCTTGCATGTTAGGGATATAAAGGTACTTGACTATGATACGTGAAACTTTAACTCAATGATGACTTGGTGGTTTGGCAAGGGACACATAAATGTTTTTTAATGTACAGTGGACCATGTAGAGTGTCATATTAAGCTGGAATTGACTATTGTTTGATTAGGAGGGAAAATAGTGGTTGGGATCTAGTTTTATATGGTTGGATCTTTTGGTTAAAACCTTTCTAGTTTATAGCCAATTTTGCTTATCATAATTAAATGATTTTTTCAAGATGCATTCTTACTTATTATTTTGCCAATTTTGTTTTTCTATCTTTTTTTCTGCCAGCGGGAACGATGGCAAAAACCGGTTCTTCGGCGTGTGCAGGTTCGTTTCTCAAGTTATTGGTTGATGTTACTATCAAAGGATCTGGTTTAGATACACTTGATTAAATGGGAGCTTTTGTGGTAAACATGCAGGTCTTGATTATTGTTTTCATTTCGTGCACGCGGTAATATAATTTGTTGAAGAGATATACATGTGACATCATCTAACAGCTAAAGTTTTTAGATCAAGTGGTTCATCATGGTATCAAAGCAAGCAAAAGTCTTAAGTTCAAGTTTCATTGCCACCCATTTATCAAAAATTGTGTACGTGTAAGGTTTTCATTAGAAGAAAATGAATCTAGCTTACACGGGTGGGGGTTTAATAAAGATAAGATTTAAATGATATACATTACATGTGACCTCATCTAATAGCTAAAGTATTTAGTACAGGAAAAGATGGTGAAATAACTTATTTATTAATCATAGAGAATGCTGAATATATACACATACAGGAAGAGAAATCACATGTTGATTTACATTCCTGAATTCTAGCCACTAATTTAGGAAACTAATATGTCTAACCTATCTAACCAAATCACAGAAAAATAGGAAACTAAATATAATTACATGATCACTGGGATTAGCCCTACAAAATTAACCATTTTAATTCTACACTCCCCCTCAAGCTGGACAATAGATATTGATCATTCCCAATTTGGAAACTAGATGATCGAAGTTGATTCTTGGAAGGGCATTTGTAAGAATATCTGCAGTCTGAAGGCGTGTAGGAGTATAGATCATCTTGATGATTCCCTCTTCTATTTTCTCCTTGATAAAATGTCCGTCAATCTCCACGTGCTTTGTTCTGTCATGATGAACTGTATTTTTTGCTATGCTGATGGCAGCTAGATTATCACAATACATTTTACTTGGGTCATCACGAGATTTTTAGTTCATCTAGGAGTCTTTTTAGCCATATGACCTCGCATATGCTAAGGGTCATAGCTCGAAATTTCGCTTCTGCACTGCTCCTAGCTACTACAGATTGTTTTTTGCTTCGCCAAGTGACTAAATTTTCCCATACTTAGGTGCAATAACCAGAAGGAGATCGGCGATCGGTTATGGACCCTGCCTAGTCTGCGTCCGAGTATACTTCAATGCCTTTGTTGTTCCCCTTTTTAAAGAATAGTCCTTTGCCTGGTGTCATTTTCAAATATCTGAGTATTCGGTATACAACTTCCATATATTCCTCGGTAGGATTATTCATGAATTGGCTAACACCACTCACGGAGAATCCGATATCAGGTCTTGTGTGAGCTAAATAAATTAGTCTTCTCACTAGTCGTTGATATCTTCCTTTGTCAACTGGAGCACTACCTTCCTTCATCCCAGTCTTATGCATTTGGTCCATAGGAGTATCCGCATGTTTACAGCCGAGCATACCTGTCTCCGTAAGCAGGTCAAGGGTGTATTTCCTTTGGGAAATAGTTATTCCCTTGCTTGAGCGGGCCACTTCCATGCTGAGAAAGTATTTTAGATTTTCGAGATCCTTAATCTCAAATTCTGATGAATAATAGACTTTAACTGACTCGTCTCGTCATGATCGTTCCCTGTGACAATGATGTCTTCCACGTATACAATGAGAAGAGTGAGCTTCCCATCAGGTAAGTGTTTGATAAAGAGAGTATGGTGAGATTGTCCCTGTGAGTAACCATATTTCTTCACAACTCTCATGAACCGTTCAAACCATGCTCTTGGTGATTGTTTCAATCCATACAATGATTTCTTCAATTTACACACTATGTTGGAATTTTCTTTCCTTTCAAACCCTGGTGGAATCTCCATATAGACTTCTTCTTTTAGGTCCTCATTCAGGAAGGCATTCTTGATGTCTAGTTGATGAAGTGGCTAGTCTAAGTTTGAGGCCAAAGATAAGAGGACCCGAACTGTATTAGTTTGGCAACAGGGGCGAATGTCTCTTGATAATCGATTGCATATGTTTGGGTGTAGCCTTTCGCTACTAACCTGGCCTTGTATCTGTCTAAGCTTCCATCTGCATTGTATTTTACATTGAAAATTCATTTACAACCGACCGGTCTTTTTCCTTTTGGAAGTTATGTGAGAACCTATGTGCCATTTTTGTTGAGAGTCCGCATCTCTTTATTTATGGCTTCTTTCCATTTTTGACATTTCATGGCCTCTTGAACACTGTTTGGAATCTTTATGTGACAACTTAGAAATGAAGGCATGATATACAGGTGAAAGATTGTTGTATAACACGAAATTGGATATCGGGTGTCGAGTACAAGACCTGACTCCTTTCTTTTGTGCAATGGGAACCTCAAGATCATCATATGATAAGGAAATAGAATCAGATGAATTTTCGATGTCACTTGAATCTGCAGGTCAGAACTTGGAGTAGATGTTTGGCCATGCTCGGGAAGAGTTTGATTCTCTATCTCCTTGTTAGTTTTTGACCTTCTGGAGTAAACTTGGAGTTCTTTGCCTTTTCCACCTGCACTCAGAGTTGGGGATTTGACGACAAGTTCGATTGAAAACTGAGGAGAGGGAGGCACGGTTGGCTCAGGTGATATGGATGTAACTGGATCAGGTGGTATTGTAGTAGCTGGGATAGGTTCTAGGTCCCAAAATTGATATTCTTCTCCTCTTCTAATGTCAGAAATCTCCCCCCGAATATGAGTTTTGGGGTAGAAAGATTGATTTTCAAAGAATGTTACATCCCATAGTGGTAAAGAATTTTTTTGTTTTGGGAGAGTAACATTTGTACCCTTTTTGAGTAGGGGAATACCCAAGAAATACACATTTAATGGCCTTTGGATCAAGTTTACTATTAAGATGTGGTGGAACATGAACAAACGCTGAGCACCCAAAAACCTTTAGTGGTAACTTGGAGATTAGCTGTGTGGATGGGTATGCTTTGGTGAGAATTTGACTCGGAGTGTAGAATTGGAGGACACGAGTGGGCATTCGATTAATCAAATATGCAGCGGTAAGTACAGTATCTCCCCAGAAATGCTTTGGAAGATTAGATGTGAACATAAGAGCACGGGCAACTTCTAGTAGATGACGATTTTTACGTTCAGCTCTCCCATTTTCCTGTGGTGTATCAATGCATGAGCTTTGATGGATTATGCCCTTCTCAGTAAGAAAAGTACTAAGGATGGAGTTGAAGTACTCTTTAGCATTGTCAGTTCTCAAAATTTGAATATTGGCTTGGAATTGATTTTTAATCGTGGAGTGAAATTTCCTGAAAATTTGACTTGCCTCAGATTTTTCTTTCATCAAAAATACCCAAGTGACTACTATGATTATCAACAAAAGAGATGAACCATCGTGCTCCAGAAATATTTTTAACTTGAGAGGGACCCCAAATGTCACCGTGTATAATTGAAAATGGATATGAAGGTTGATATTTATGTGCAAGAATAAACTTCTTACATGTTTAGCAAATTGGCAGATTTCACACTGGAATAAACTTGGATTTTTATTAATAAATAATGATGGAAACAACTTTGACAGATATATAAAATTGGGATGACCTAATCTGAAGTGCCACAACATGATTGCACTATTATTGTCATGGGTCGAAACAAGAACAAACATAGAATTCTTATTGGACTGACTCACTAAGGCTGGTGTAGTATTTTGAATTCTAGTAGCCTCGCCTGACTTGTAGGGATAGAGGCCCGCACACTCCACAGCATTGCCAATTATCCTCCTCGAGTCCCGTTCCTGAAATATGCAATTATCCTCCTCGAGTCCCGTTCCTGAAATATGCAATGAGTAGGAAAGAATTTAGCAATACAATTAAGATCTTTTGTGAGTTTGCCAATTGATAATATGTTGCAAGATAGCTTTGGAACCAATAGGACAGAACTAAGAACAATGTGTTTAGAAATAATAATGGTTCCAATTCAGGAAACTGTGGATAAGGAACCATCTGCAATGCGCACGGTATGATTTCCAGAACATGGTAAGTAAGAGTAGAATAAGCAGGCATCACCAGTCATATGATCGGAGGCCCCTGAGTCAATTATCCAAGGGCTGGTTTTCTCAGCTTTGCTGTTAAGAGCGCTTGAAAACGTACCCTTCTGGGCTATGGAACCCAATCCGATGACATTCGTACTCGTGTTTGGTTGAACATTTTCTGAAGGAGATCAAGTTGTTCTTTGCTGAATATTGAGGATTCAGGCACAGATTGGTCATCAGCAGTGGCAGAGAAGCCACGAATTTTACGGTCAGAATTCAACCTGTTTGGTTTCCAATCAGCGGGTTTACCATGGAGTTTCCAGCACTTTCCCCGAACGTGTCCAGGCTCATGACAGTAATCACACCATGGTCTTCCTTTATGAGGGTGATTATCACTTCCTTGATTGTTGTTTCCATGAGAGGTAAGGGCAGAGCCTTCAGTTGGGACAGTGATCCCTTGAGTTCCCATTATGACCTTCCTTCTACTTTCTTCTCTTTTGACCTCTGAGAATGATTTACGGAGAGAAGGCAGAGGTTTGGTTCCCAAAATTCTTCCTCTTACTTCATCAAGATCTTTGTTTAGGCCAAGTAAGAACTTAAAAATTCTTTCTTTCTCAACAATAGTGCGGTATTTCTTTCTGTCTTGAGGACACTCCCACGAGATATCTTCAAACATGTTAAGTTAGTGTCAATATCGAGTGAGGAGGTTGAAGTAACGAGTCACAGAATTATCACCTTGTCGAAGATTATGGAAAGTTACTTTGATTTCAAAAAGTTCCAGAGGTATTTTCATTGTCTGAATAGGTTTCTTTCACACTATCCCAGATTTCTTTTGCAGTTGAATAGAACATGAAGTTTTGGCCAATCTCGACGTTCATTGTGTTGATTAGCCGGGACATGACCATGTAATTTTCAGATTTCCATCTCTTGAATTTGGGATCAGCCGTAGATGGTGGCTTTGCAGTTCTTGTGAGATAGTCATCTTTCCCTTTGCCGATGATATACATCATGGTCGATTGGGACCACTGGAGAAAGTTCTGTCCATTGAGTTTATGCCTAGTGATGGGAATGATGGAATGTTCGGAATTTCCATGAAAGGTAGAGACGACGTCCTCTGCAGCAGAGGTTACATCAGATGAGGAATCTTTTCCGGAGGCCATCTCAGATTTAGGGTTTCAGGGGCGGCTCTGATACCATACAGAAAAAGATGGTGAAATAACTTATTTATTAATCATAAAGAATGCTGAATATATACACATACAAGAAGAGAAATCACATATTGATTTACATTCCTGAATTCTAGCAATATATACACATACAAGAAGAGAAATCACATATTGATTTACATTCCTCAATTCTAGCCACTAATTTAGGAAACTAATATGTCTAACCTATCTAACCAAATCACAGAAAAATAGGAAACTAAATGTTCCTAAATATAATTACATGATCACTGGGATTAGCCCTACAAAATTAACCCTTTAAATTCTACATTTAGATCAAGTGATTCAACATAATTTGATATCAATTTCCCCTTTGCCTATTAAATTGCTATAGATTGCAATTAAAAGAACTGCTTTCATGTTTCCTCTTTCTTATCTCATCAGTTTAGCTTTTTTAGGATGGAGTTTTGTCATGATTCACTGTATTGTCATTCTCAATAACTCCTGGTTCAAAAGCGGATTTGAAATTCTTAAAAAAAGAATAAAGTTGAAAAATTCAAAAATACATCAGAGCGTAATTTGATCATATTGAATGGGTTAATTGAAAAGTGTAAAAAGCCTTTGTTTACATAGACAAAATTATTTTCTAATTTTACAGGAAGAAAACTAAAATCCTAGAAGGAAATAAAGTCTTAATCTAAAAAGAAAGAAAAAAAAATCATATTCTGATCATGGAAGGAATATAAATCATATTCTAAACTAGAAGAAAAAGAATAGGATCGTCCTACATTAACTCCTCTTTATGTATGTGCAGTTCCAGATGATTTGGTTTATGATTTATTTGTATGTGCCTTCCCTCTGATTTTCTGGAAACTTATTTTCTTAAACTGCCTACTTGTATCTGCTAATAACTGTTCCTTGCAATTTCTATTGCAGCCACCTCCACCAGTCAATGATACTAATCCATTCAATGTATTCAGGCGAAGGGAGAAAGCTCATAAGCTTCACACTAGGAGGGTATGTGGTTTCTTAGTTTATGAGCGCTTTCACATTTTTTAAGTGGTCAATTTTTTATTTTTATTGTATTAATATTTATTAAACTTTGAGAAATAAAAATGTACATATAATGCATCTTGTGCATGATTGCTGTATGCTGCACAGATGCAAAGGAGGGATAACAATGTGCAGTCATTTGAAAAGCTTCGCCAGGTTTGTCTGTTCTCCCTTCAATAGTTTTTTCTATGCTATTCTATATTTGGTAGTGAGAATTTTTAACTCAAGTTCTAATAGGTTTTCTGAAGTATTAACTATCACTATTATTCTTTTTGCTCGGATTAGACGAGAGTTTCTTAAGGCTTTTAGTTGTTGAATACACGTTCTTCGTATTTAAAACTTATTCAACTATATGATGTGTCCTCAAATTATGCATCATTTCTTGATTGGAGTTTGCACATACTGTTTCCCTCCTGCTGAAGAATTCGAAGTTTGGCTGCAGCATAATACTACCTTGATGAACTAATATTATATATTAGCATGAAACACTGACTTGACAACTTGCTCAAGCCATGGTTAGTTTCTGGACGACAAACATTATATTCAAGCCTGCTGCTTGCATCGTGTTCATGTTCATAAAACAAATTTGCTGTGGCATTGAAGATGTTTTCTTCTGCTTGTCATTGCTGATTGCCTGTATTTCATCCTCACCAGTTTATTCTTGACTATTTTCTCTGATTGTCGACTTTAAATTCTAATTTCTGGCCATTGACGGAGTTTAGAAGTGATATTCAAGAAGCTGAAGAGCGAGGAGCTTGAGAGCTAAAAATTAATAAATCACTTCCTAACTTTAGAAATATAGAAGCACTAATGTATCATACAATTACTCGCGGTATCCTTTCTTGGATTATGTTCTACAATTTTGTTTGAATGCTTTTGCTTAATGCACTTGTTCAGATCATTTTGATTTTCACCATCTTCAGGTCCGGCGGAACCTTGATCAGGCAAAAACCATTATTGAGGCTCTGATCCAGGTACACGGCCATACTATTTATAGTTTGTTTGAGCCCCATTTTTTTCTTAAGAATGCATTTTGGAATAGTAGATTGATGGATAATGTGTGGTTGAAAAATAAGGAAAATTTTTGGATTTACGTGTAATATTATTTTATTGAAGTGTGTGGTTGAAAAAAAGAGAGAAAAAAATGTATTTTGGAAATAATGGGGATCAAACAAGGGCTTAATAAGTTTCATGATATTCTGATTAAGATTTGTTCTTCGCACAGCGATGAAAACTTTTGCAATGACAGTAAGTTCTCATTCCTTCATCATGGTTTTATGTAGAGGGAAGAGAAGAAACTAGAACTTGTGGAGACTGAGGTTAGCCTTCAAAGAATTCAAATGAAGTACAAGGTATTCACAATTATTTTATCTTGCCAAACTATTGACAATTTTGAAATTGTTATTTATTGCTTAGTAACTTTTTGGACATTGATAATAGTGCTTGGACACCAAAAGAACCATATAAGATCTCCGCGTCACAACTGGGACCACATTTCAGCAAGCACAGAAATTACCAAACTGCCATTATATTAAAAAAAAAGCAAATCCTTTTAGCTTGTATATGAACCAAATCAGACACCATTAAGGCATGCTAATATACTATGGATATCTTTAATTTTACGAGAATTCATATTAGCTCATGTGGGGGACACATTTTTAGTTTTAGGTCCAAAATTGTTCTCTTTTCTAACCATGTAATGGCTTGTGGATCATGATGTATAATTATTAGTTGTATCAAGTACTTAAAGTTAAGATAACACTGGCCTCAGCAATTTCTCTTTCTGATAATTAATTGAGGAAAAGGAAATTAGTTTGACATTTTTGCATGTTCATATGCAATATTTTTTGTTATAAAAAAATTTGCTGACATTAGTAAGTCTTCAAAGAAAAACAATGAATCAACATTTCAGAAATTTTCTAATAGCATAATAGTCTTGGATAGAGTCGAAGAGGATTTTGGCACTTTTAAGAGAAGAATTTGACATCCAGGAGGAATACATGATATTGATGTAATGATGATTCTAGACACAGTATATATATATCCTAGCCTTTTTAAATCTAGTGTATATATATAATAAAGATAAAACAAGGGGCAAGACAACAATTGTGGCTATACTAGCTTACATCCTGACATCGTGGTTTCTAATGGAAATCGGTTATGGATCTTGTGGTTTAAACCTGATTCACTATGCTGATGTAGAATAAACTGAGTTGGTTTCTAAGTGATAGATGGTCAATAAAATATCAATTGGATTTTCCAGCATGAAATTGAGCTCCTTGATGATAGTCTGGCGCTACATGGATTACTGTCCTTCCCAACCAAGGTTGATTCAAGTGAGGAGGAGTTTGTTGATTCTGATGACATGGTAAATGGCCATCCACACACAAGACCTGCTGTGGCGCAAAATCAACCTTTCGTAGAATCAAAGTTAGTGCTGGATTCTGCAGGAAGCATGAGGCAAGAGGCTGGACGTCATCATATGCCACACAGTTGGCTTCATAAACTGGTACTTGTCTATTTCTCAATCCTACTGAAAGTTTCTTGCCTAATATAATGCTGGGAGAAGCCATGGCAGAAGATAGTCAGAAAGCTTATGAAGTTATTCATGGTAGACTTTGAGAGGTGCTGAGTTTAGTTCAATATATTGGATTCATTTCAAGGAGCTACATCATAGGGGGAAAGATTACGTTATTTAGGGATGTAACTGTTGGACAGTACCCTTTACAGTATCTAACATATTATTCCTTATCTAACATATTTTTCCTTTCCATATTCTATGCAGGATCTAAACGAGCCAGTTTTGCTGTTCACTAAACCAATAGATCCATATAAACTATCAGGCGCGGGTGTAATACTTCCACCCAATTGTTCCACCCCAAATGGCAGATCATCACGCTCATTTAACTTCCATGGAAGGATGGGACGAGGGGGCCGAATAGTGTTTGATAGATGGAATCCGCTTATGCATACTCGGATCGACTGTGGTGATGCATTATATGTGCCACCAAAACCGCGACATTCTGCACATCATTAATTTTCTTGCCATCTTCTGAGCTTTATCAGCAATGAACTCTTTCAGAATCAAGTCAAATGTAATTTCTCTTTGGGTAGAGGTATGCTCAAGAAAATTTGAAAGCTGACAACATTTTAGGCTCAGTCTATGGGAAATTGATGCAGAGACGAGCAAAACCTTCTCGCACGAATTTGCTGCAGCAATGCCTGAATCTTCCCTACTCAAACTCTCTATGCGGGATCTCCCCTTGTACAATTATTTCATGCTGCCCTAGATAGACTAGGAAATAGCTCTCTATGTTTAACAGCACAGGGTGTAAAATTTGCAGGGTATTTATTTAATTTGGACGCTCGCATTAATAACTCCCAATGACATATCTCCCTCTTGTAAAATAATTTGAATGGACTGATGGCTATAGTTTTGTAAATAAGTTTTTCTATCATTCGATTTTGCAGATTTTTTTCTTCCCGATCAAGTTTGACGTGCATCTGGTCTCGAGGGATGTCTGATTTGAATTCAGATGTGCAGGTTTTTGTTATAGCTTAACTAATCATTTGGCTGATAAAGAACAAGTTCAGAGAACATTGAAAAGCGAGTATCGTTATTGGTTGCCATCACTTACCAAGTAGAGATAACTCGAATCTTAATCTATGAAATTGGTATTAGGATTTAGCTTACACATCTTTTGGGTTCGAATTTTGGTGGACGCAAAGAAAAATTCTTGAAGAGGACGAATGTTTTTTTCAAAGCAGATAATACGTATAATATAATGGCTTGAATCATTACAATAAACATTTCTCTTAGACATTCACGCAATCACCTTTAGTTGGAATCATTTTATATCCAAATTTCTAGACAAGAAATTCAATTATTTATAATAAAAGGGGTTTAAACTCTACAGCTATGACGTCTTTCGAGAGGACGCATTTGGCTCAAAGATGATGTTTTCATTGCCAAAGCATTCGCCTGCATAGCTCTTTCCATTAGCAGAGCGAGCGCCCTGGTTGCCTTCTCCATTAACAGAGCCTTTGCTTTCACATTCATCGTTCTTTCCACTGGTAAAGCCTTCGCCTTCGAGTTCATTGCTCTTTCCACTGGCAAAGCCTTCTTCGCTCCTTCCACTAGCGGAAATTTCACCTTCATTGCACTTTCCACTGACATCACCTTCGGCTTCAGTACTTAACCTTTTAAGACTCTTCAATTTTTTCTTAGCACAGATTGTGAAAGCAACTATGGCAATGATGGCAACGACGACAGAAACTACGTTGTAGATTATCTGCACTAGACTCAGGTGATGGTTCCCATACTTGACATCTGCTAACGTCTTTATTACCCGACCACTGCAGGCAAAGAACCACAATTTCAGTGAACACGTACGACCAAGTTGATTTGTATGTAATCTTGATCAAACGGTCAAGGCATTATATTTACAATGCAGAGAGAGAGAGAGAGAGAGACCTGTAGATGTAAACAAAGGCTTCTGGGATCATTCCTGTAACTGATCCACATAAATAGGGCCAAAATCGAATATTTGTCACTACTACAGCATAATTAAATATCGTGTATGGAAATGGTGAAATCCTGAACAGTGCAACCACTTTAAATTGATGGAACCAACTTCCTTCTCCAGCCAATTTAATCATAGCAGCTTTTTGAGGCCATCTCTTTAGCCAGTGCTGCAGATGCACAAGTGATTGAGATTACAGGTAAAATGGCAAATAGAGAAGGGGCAGCAAACGATTATGAAATATGAAAAAGAGAAAAGTTAACTATCGTGTCTTACATGAATCCGATCACGAAAGAGTAAACCAGTCAAGAATGGCAGGGTCATTCCGATGGTTGTTCCAATCATAATTATGACAAAACCGAACCCATAACCAAAAATCATGCCAGATAGCAGCAAGAGAGGACCGGAAGGAATTAGAAACACGGGAAACAATGTCAAAGCAGCTACAAGTATGAGTGCAAGCACTGGACGATCCAATGCAGTTGCCCATTGCAGGATCGGGTAAAGAACCTAATCAAAATGATCAATGTAAGAGATCATATGCTTTTAATTTGTAAAGACAAAAGATAAGTTTTCACAAATGGTAACAGCATTGTGACATATCCTTGGGAATATGCTGCTTATAACTGAAAATATTCAAAGTACGACAGCATTAAAAGATTGAATAATGTTTGAAAGCAATCATAAACTCTGTCCAGAATTCCATGACTGTTACTAGGAAACTTTGGCAATACGCTCATGTTTCTTTGAACAATATGAAAATATTGGCGAGTGTATTATGCACTGCAGACATACGCGCAATGCCATAATTATCAACATCCAAAGATCATTGCTCGCTCAAATTTGAACAGAAGTCAAAAGAAAGAAAATTTCTATTACTTTATATCGATGCAGTATTCTGAATCCCGTTAACACATGCAGCTGATTCATGACTTTGGATTTTTTATTCCTCTATACAGTCACTCAGCATTTCAAATCCATTCTCTAAATTATTATAAATTAGCCAGAAAAAGTGTCCTTTCCAATATAAGGTTAGGCCACTGGAACGACACAAAACTATATGTACCGACAAAAACACGAAGATTGAAATACCTTCTCTATTAGAAAGGGTGCTCCCCATTTTAAGAAGATAGCAAGAATTGCTATTATAACTGAACACAATATTGCGACCTTGATCCACCACATTCGCGGCCTTTTTCTTGATTTTGATTGAGACTCTAAATTACTCATTTCAGGTAACCTTCCTTCGTTAGGCATATCCAATATGACGTGGTTACTTCCTTCCCTTAATAGATCCGCACTATTGGCGTGGCTTTTCTCCAACTCCTCAGGTGAATCTAGCATTTATATTGAGACGCCAGATGCCTGTCAAATGAAACGCTTTAGACATCAGTATTTAAGCAAGCAAAAAGTAGAAAACTTACCAAATTAATATTGTTCACATATGACATATATCAGGAAAACTTGAAGATCGAGAAATTTATATCAAACACTGATTTGTGAATTCTGAAGTGACAAATATTGCAGCACTCAAGAGTTTCGAACAATTCACAACATATGAAACTTCATCTTAAAAAGAATACCACATTGAAGAAAATTCTGATAATGTTCATCCAGGACGATGATTACGTATTAGAAGTGTACTTGACTGACAAGCTACGATGCAAGGACTCTTCTGAATGTATCAAAGAACTGGTATTTTACACTTGATGCTCCGAAAGGAAACGCAATATGATTGCATACATATCAAGAAAAACATATCCAGATATGCTTTATAGCCATATCAACCACCATTATACAACTTTAAACAGAGATTCTCTTTTGGAAAACGCCCATTGCCAAGTCCCTGTTCTCTCGTGCAGCAACCACACACACTGCAGTGGAAAATATCGAATGGAGTATGGATGTGAAAAATACAAAACTATAACAATCTACAACTGCTAAAGGCATATACTTTGCGGGATTATATCTATCCATTTGCTACAACAAATTTGTGAAGTAGTCAAAGTATTAGAGAAATTAAACATTGATTCATACCATAGATGCACAAAAGGAATTGTTCAAGCAACGCAAATCTACTGTCAGTTCAACCAAATAATTAAAAAGAAAATAAAACTTGGCTCCAGATGAATTCCTCAACTTCATCAAGATATCCACACAAAAAAAAAATAAAAGCCCTTCAATTTCTTTCACCTCAAATATCATCACCAATTAATTTTTCTTTTAAAAAAAAATAAATAAAAATTTGCTAATTTTCCCACCTTCTTTAGCGTTCTTCTACATACGATTGTAATCAGGAAAAAAAGAAAAAAAGACACATGATGAAGATTTTGAACCCGTCCAACAAAACAAAAACAGAAAATGAAAGATTTATTGCATATACTAACTCAAACAAAATGGAGCGCCATCACTGATTAGTGATTACGATCGACTGTTTTTTCTTGTTTCTCTTCTATTTTCTATAAACAAATAAAAATCACATAATAATATAGCAGTTTTTCTTCTTTTTCAATTTTGAATCACGTAAAATAACAGTTTTATTTGAACATATCGGCATATTATGTGAATAATTAAAATAAAAATTATTTATGTAAGAATTATTTATTATAAAAACATCATTTTATACTGTTTGAATCCGGGAATTTCTAAATTTATAGTTACTGTTAATTATGAAAAGATTATTTGTGGTAGAGATAAAATATGAAATTAAATTCAATAAAATTGATTTTAGAATTAAAATAAAACGTTAGATTTTAATTTTGAATAAATAGGGTGTAGATTAATTCTCGATTCATTGGGTTTTGATTTTATTTATTTTTTGAATAAATGGTGTTGTCATTTCTTGATTGTCTGGCTTAAACCTCAAGAACGCACTCTTGGTAACATTTTCGTCTGTACCAAAGAAGCTCTTCAACAAATTACTCTGCAAAATTGATTAAAGCCCAGTACAAACACATTCGGAGTATCAGTCCATAACCATTGAATGGCCCCATTACAAGCCCATTAATGTAGCCCATAAACCTTGCATTTTGGGTATAATTCATAAAGTGGAAATTGCATAAAACACATTTAGTTTGACATTTTAAAAAATCAAGTTTAAATTTTATTTATTCAATTTTCAGGTTTTTATCATTTTAATTAATAATGATATTATAAAATTAAAATAACTTATATACACATCCTACTACATGTCCCTACCAAATTTATTTTAAATATGAAACCCTAAATCAACTCTCGTGTCTCTCACCATTTCTCTCTACTCTCTCACCGCCCGCCACCTCCATCGCCACCGTCTGTCTCTCCCCCTCCTCCTCCTCCCTCCATCTCGATAATGTGAATGGCTGCTGCTGTTCAACAGGGCGCGCTATGGGTGTGCAGTGTCGCAACGCTACTGCCGTTCACAACAACGTCACGATGCTGCTGTGGGTGGGTGGCTCGGCATCGTGACACTGCGACGGTCCGACGATTTGTGGTGGTTTGGGTTTTTCTTCATTCTTTGGTCTTTTTAGCGGGGTTGGTTTTTGTTGTTAGTGATTTGCACATTGTGATGGTTTTTTGCAAATGCAAATGATGAGGTGGTGGTCGGGCTGGGCAGTGATTTTTTGGTTGTGATTTTGCGGTGGTTTTCTCGGGGGTGGTGTGGTAGATCTGTGTGTGTGGCTCTTATTGGTGGCGGATATGTGTGTTGACGGATTTGTTATTGGTAGTTTGGGATGTGTTTGGGTGATGGTGTTATTGTTGGTGGGTGGTTGAGGCGATGGAGGTGGCGGTTGCGACGGTGGGAGGATGGGAAGAAGAGTATCTTACTAACTATTTGGTCGAACTGTGATCAAGTGTTGGTGGTGTACTGGGATTGGGGACGGGTGTTTGGGTGTATGTGACCAACTATATCGATTTGTGACCAAGTATTGGTGGCGTACTGGGGTTTGGGGTCTGTGATCAACTATTTGGCCGATCTGTGGCCAAGTATTGATGGTGTACTGGGATTGAGGGACAAGTGTTTGGGTGTATGTGACCAACTATATGGTTCTCGGTAGCTAACTATTTAACCGTGACCTTAAAATTCGTTAATCTGTGACCAACAAATTTGGAAATATGCGATCTCTGTTATCTCCAATTTTTTTAACTTGCGACCGATTACAAATTTGTGACCTATAATTTTTTTTATTAGTGACCAATGAAATTAATTGTGACCTATAAATTTTTTGATTTGTGACCTCGAAATAATCTGTGACCAATTAATTTGATAAGCTGTGACTGAAAATTAAATGTTTAACTACTTAATAAAATAGCTATGACATCGGAGTCGGAACAGTTACCGAATTTAAGCAGCGACCGAACTGTCACTGGAATTAAGCCCGGTCGGGGAGTAGTCGCCTATCATTGGGATAGTCACCTGTCATCGAAGTAGTAGTCGGAGTGGTAGGGGAGGTAGGGTGGAGTGGGGTGGTTATATTATATTACAATTAAATATTTAATTTAATATAATAATTGTGAAATGCAATTAATTAATTCATGGAAAACCTAGTTTTTGCAATTTTAAAATTTAGGGGGTGGTTTTTAATTTCATGATAGATAATACCTTATCCATAAATTTTTCAAAATTTTTTCATGATTTTAAAACTTTTTTTTTCAAATTTTTTTTTAATGATTTTTACAATAAAATTTTGTAATACAATGAGTTACAAAATTACTCATATTTCGTCACCCCAGTTTTACCTATTGTCATCGTCATTACTCGTAACACATTATGCTCGTTTTGATCAAATTTTTTTTTTAAATGTATTTTCAACCATACATTTCCCCATAAAATAATGTTACGGATTAATTCAAAACATTTCTTTACTTTTTAATTACGCTTTCTTTAAAATTCATTTTTCTTCAAAATCTTATTTTATTGGAATCCAAACAGAGGCTATATTATTGTTACACAAGTTTTGCCACGTGATCAGAGAAAGAGACCACTGACCAATGTGAAAATGAATATTTGCATTTACATTACAGCAACATATTTTCTTACGCGTGGGGCCCAAATTTGATATTTATTTATTTTAAATGAATAGAGAATATGATCGTTACTTGGTTTGTGGGGTCCCAAAGACATCTGTCGGTGGATATCTACCTTTATTTAACCGAAGACTTTTTAAAATAGTGTAATTTGGACTCTTCATTTTTCATTTTCTCCCAACAGACTGCCCGTTAGGTGCACCCTTCTGCCCGAAGTCACAATTTGAAAAGCGGTCAAGTCCTTCATTCCAAATTAAAATAAATAAAAATTACTTATTTTGTATTTATGGATTGTGTCGGCTCTAGGCTAACTCTCAAATTGTATTACTTCATGTTAGAGGTGTCAAGACGGACGGACCGGCCATGACCAGTGAAAACCGGCCCGTGAAAACCGGGACCGCGGGCCGACCCGTGACCCGTGCGGGCGGTTCACGGGCCAAGGAGGTGNAATTAAACGGTTATTAGAGATAAGTTTACATATTTAAACCGTCCTCTCTCTCGAATTATACGTAAATGGCAGTAGTTGTTAGGTTGATTAAAAATATAATTAATTACTTTAAAATCCTGATTTATGAATTTATATAAGTCATTATGTATTAATGAAAATGAAAACTTAAAAACAGGCCAGGGTGTAATTTCCTCTTCAACAAATTACTCTGCAAAATTGATTAAAGCCCAGTACAAACACATTCGGAGTATCAGTCCATAAGTATTGAATGGCCCCATTACAAGCCCATTAATGTAGCCCATAAACCTTGCATTTTGGGTATAATTCATAAAGTGGAAATTGCATAAAATCAGGCATTTAGTTTGACATTTTAAAAAATCAAGTTTAAACTTTATTTATTCAATTTTCAGGTTTTTATAATTTTAATTAATAATGATATTATAAAATTAAAATAACTTATATACCCATCCTACTACCTGTCCCTACCAAATTTATTTTAAATATGAAACCCTAAATCAACTCTCGTGTCTCTCACCATTTCTCTCCACTCTCTCACCGCTCGCCACCTCCACCGCCACCGTCCGTCTCTCCCCCTCTTCCTCCCTCCATCCCTATAATGTGAATGGCCACTGCTGTTCAACGGGCGCGCTATGGGTGTGCAGTGTCGCAACGCTACTGCCGCTCACAACAACGTCACGGTGCTGCTGTGGGTGGGTGGCTCGGCGTCGTAACGCTGTGACGGTCCGACGATTTGTGGTGGTTTGGGTTTTTCTTCATTCTTTGATCTTTTTAGCGGGGTTGGTTTTTGTTGTTAGTGATTTGCACATTGTGATGGTTTTTTAGCAAATGCAAATGATGAAGTGGTGGTCGGGCTGGGCAGTGATTTTTT